GAGGTTTCTTCCTGTTAAAAGGGAGTTTTTCCTTCCCACTGTCGCCAAAGTGCTGCTCATAGGGGGTCATATGATTGTTGGGTTTTTCTCTGTTTCTATTATGGTAGGATCTACTGTACAACATGAAGCGCATTGAGGCGACTGTTGTGGTGATTTGGTGCTGTGTCTCAGACTCGACTCTGTTTATTACTAATCACTGTGTAACTGCTGTATATTCACAGTAACTGCCATCTGCTTACACGTGTATTAAATTAACTTATACAGACTGTATATAACTACAAACTCTTCAGCCATGTTGATTTGTTACCTATATTTGCTTACAATGGTTATTTCCAGAGCAAAGGCACAGGCAGACTATGCCAACAGGATCTGATTTTACAACACTAGTGAAATATTAATGTGTGATATTTGTTAAAGATGTATTTCTTTATTATGGGAAGAAATACTGAAATCATCATGAACAATAGGAGTGGTCATTTCTATGACTTTGTGTGTATAATTTTGCATTTTTTACTGAGTAAAAATAAATACATATTATCATTTCATTTATTTTAAAGGTTTATTTGCAAGTCACAAAAACAGCCAAAATAGAAAGTTACAAATGTGTTTCGCATGAAACGAATTCAAACGTGCTGCAGATGTCTGTCACAAATGAATCTGGCTGTGAGCTATGGCACCTGACCACAGGTGGCGGTAATGCACCATTTTGCTGTTTGCCAACCGCCAACAAACCATATAAAGAAGAAGAAGCTAAAATCCGTCCAATCACATTCCTTCACCTGCCCAGCTCACAGGTGAGCAGTGTTGCCAACTTAGCGACTTTGTCGCTATATTTAGCGAGTTTTCAGACCCCGTTAGCGACTTTTTTTTTTCTAAAAAGCGACAAATCTGGCGACTTTTCTGGTGTTCTTGGAGACTTATTTATGACGACTTTTTGACGTGAAAGCGGGTAACGCTTTTACTCTCAACAAGCAGCGGTGCTGCCGTGGGCACCTCGCCCGTTCCAAAGCGCTCACGGGCGGAGGATAGTCCTCCCCCAGCTGCAGGAGACGTTCACACCTGTGCGTCACAACTGCAAATGAACCGCGCATGAGCGAAGCCGCTGCTCCGCACTGACAGTAACACAATCAGTTCTTCTTTTACTGTTATGCTGTTTTGTGGATCAGGTTTAAAATTACTTATAAACACACACACAGAGTAACTCCACCAGAGTGACAATTTCGGGTCACTTTTGC